AAATTTTAAATATTGATAATTTATCAATTTACAGTAAATTGATAAAATTTACAGTTTACAATAAATTGATAAAATTTACAGTTTACAGTAAATTGATAAAATTTACAGTTTTGAATATGTTTGTCATAATTCGAAATATGTGAAGCATAGCATATCGATTCAAATGATTGGTGCTGTTGTTGGATCACTTATCTTTGGACAACTCAGCGATTTATATGGAAGAAAACCGGTATAAGTCATTTATTTTTAAATGTCAATTAATTAGTTAAATTATTGGTAGACTAGTTTTTATATGATAAGATTAAAAGGATGTCATTTTGATAACTGAAAAAAGGAGAAAGAAAAAAGAAATTATATGATTTTGATAACCGGAAAATGTTATTAGCATTTGGGAAATAATTATCAGTTAATTATGCTTATATCATATATGATAGAATGACTGAAAATGATGGAAATTAGTAATGATGCATCATATTTTTTGTCATTCAAATTATAGAAATCAAAAACAGAAATTGAAATCAATCTAAAAGAAAATTACATTTTTTCTCATATTTTATAACTGTTAAAATTTCTAAATTATAAAAATCAAAAAGTGAAAATGTATATCATAAAATTAAAATTTGTTATTATTTCATGTTTTAATTTCAGTTCATTTATTATTTCGATAAAATTATTCGTTGCTGTTTTTTTCTAGACTTTGTTATTTGGTGTTACGGGATGTATTATATTTGGATTGATATCAGCTTACTCAAAAGATTTACTTACAGCTACCATTTACCGTACCATTATTGGACTTTTTAATGGTGGACAAATAGCGTAATGGTCTTCTTATTGTTTTTTTTTTTCCATTAGATTGATTAAAATGAATAATTTCAAAATAAATTTGATGCTAATTCTAAGAAAGGAATAATTTTAAAATTTAAATATTAATAAAATTTTTCATTGAAAAAAAAATAGCTTGAAAAATGAAAATATTTTATTGCATTCGTATTTAGGAAAAATTATTTTAATGAAATTAATAAAATCAAATAATTTGAAATTTAAAAATTTAATTTGAAATTTGTTTTTTTTTTTTCAGTGCTTTGTTTGTATATGTGGTAGAAATGTTACCCAAAAGAGACCGTGTATGGGTTACAACACTTATTTCATTTTCACCAAATGTAATATTATTAGCTACGATGGCATATTATAGCCAAAATTGGCGACAATTAGCAATTGTCGTCAGTTTTTTGACATCACCAGCTATTCTTCTTTGCATGTTTGTTGTGTTATTATTTCAAAATTTCTTTTTCATTTTCATTCTTATTAATAAATAAAAATTGAAATAATTTACAACATTATTCACACGCATATGTTGTAAATTATTCGAGCTGATCGATCAAAAAATCAATGTAACATTTTATGAGATATTAGCATAATAATCTCGGCTAATTGATTCATTCAAATTACAAATTAGCTATCGTTAGCATTTTGGAAGCATTCATTGTTGGAAATAGTTTTATCATAAAAATTTGATAATCAATGATTAAAATGAATACTTTCGGCAAAGAAAAAGAATTATAAGAAATGACAAAAAGGTTAAAAGTCACTAAAATGGTTATAGTCTGTACTTTTTTTTTTCTTTAAAAAATATTGAAGAACGATTTGGAATGAGGCAAAGTGAATTTATTATTGATTATCAATTTTCCAATATAGATTATCAATTTATTATTGTTTATCAATATTACACAAAATTGGGACAGTTGAAGAAGTAATCTTGATAAGTAATTATGAATCAAGTTGAAATAACTTCTGAAAGGTTACATGTGAAAGAGGGAGAAAGAGAGAGAGAGAGAGAGAGAGAGAGAGAGAGAGAG